GGGGCAGGATCACCTCCCTCAGCCTGCTGGCAATGCTGTTTCCCATGCACAGCACAGCCCCTTGGCCCTGGGACACATGGCTGCTGTTCATCCAGGGCTCTCTGCAGCTGCTCTCCAGCCCCCAGCCTGGACTGGGGTCACTCCTCCCCAGGTGGAGGATCCTGCACTTGCTCTTGCTGAAGTTCTAACAGTTCCTTCCTGCCCACCTCTGCAGCCTGTCGAGGCCCTTCTGCAGGGCTGCACAGCTCTGGGGGGGATTGGCCACTGCTCTTGCTTTGTGTCAGCAGCTGGGGAGGCACCAACCCCTTCATTCAACCACTGATGGACGAGTTAAACAACACTGGGCACAGGACTGAACCTGGAGGGGCTAATAAAAAGGAAGTGGGGATGGAGAGAGTGTATCTTAGGGAGGTTTTTACTAAGGATTTACACGTCGGTCCCTCCAGACTCCAAGAGGACTGACTTACAAGCAGAAAAAAGGACAAGAAAAGGCTAAAGAGTCTGCATTTTATAACAACTTACAGAACCTTCAGGGCTTTTTGTTTGCTTCTGTGTAGTAGTTTCTGTTCTCTGTCTAAGCATTTTTCATATGGCTACTGACTTTAATAACATTCAGTTTCCCTTCAAAAAATCCATAGAAGACAGCTGTCCAATTATCTTGTACTTCCAGTGGGTAAAGACAGCTAAAAGCAGCAGTTTTATAGATACACACTCTGGTAAGGCTTCCAGTAAAGGAGAAGTCGGTGCACTGTAAGCAAAGATTAAAAATTCACCAGCCCCTATCCTCAGAGCTCCACTGAAAGGTCAGGCATCCAAAACTCTGCTTCATCATAACACCTAAAGTACTGAAGATGCAACGGTGCCCCTGGACAAACTACAAAAATAAACCATAGAATTTACAAAACATGACAGCCTCAGTCAACAGCCCCAGAAAACTCTGCTTCTGTATTAATTATAACAATCAAAAAAAAAATCAGACTAATACAAAATTATAGAATCCCACAATGGTTTGGGTTGGAAGGGACCTTAAAGCTCATCTCATCGACCCCTGCCATGGCAGGGACACCTCCCACTGTCCCAGGCTGCTCCCAGCCCTGTCCAGCCTGGCCTTGGGCACTGCCAGGGATCCAGGGGCAGCCACAGCTGCTCTGGGCACCCTGTGCCAGGGCCTGCCCACCCTGCCAGGGAACAATTCCTGCCCAATAGCCCATCTGGTCCTGACTTCTGTAAGTGGGAAGCCATTCCCTGTGTCCTGTCCCTCCAAGCTCTTGTACAGAGTCTCTCCATCTTTTTTGTTGGCTCCTTCAGGTTCTAGAAGTCTGCAACGAGGTTTTGTTGGTCCCAGCACAACTGCTCTCTGAAGAACCTTCAGCAAAAATACTGGGATGTTACCATTAAATACAAGCAGGAAGAACCAGCACCTCACAAGAAAATGGGCACAAAGCCTTCAACAGAGCTACAAATCAAGAGAAAACAATCCTGCATGCCATGAATCCAACACCACCTTCCCGAGGTGACACCAGTGTGACCTGAGAAACCTCCCTGCCCCAGTAGCACCTTCTCACCACCTGGAGAACCTTCAGCTCAGGCTGATCCTGCATACAAATCCCACGTGCAAAATGTCAACAACAGGTTACAAATACCCTGATGAAACACACAGCGACAACAGCTCCCTCAGAGCCCAGAGCCATCGGGTGGGCAGGGGCACATCCACCCGTGCTGTACGTAAACAACAGCCTGCTGGCCAAAGTTTCTGCTGCTGCTTGGCAGATCCACCCCACTGAAATCTCTGTTACCGTTTGTGTTATCAACTTGATCAAGAACCCAGAGTTAAACCAGGATCCGGTTTTTTGCGTCTTTCCCCAGCGGGTGAGGGCACACGGACGGAGCGAAGGGCTTACACCGCGAGCTTCCAGCTGCTTTGCACAGCCCCGGCCCCGGCTGCAGGAGCTGGATGCCCGTTACCAAACACACCGGAGCGTTGGGGCTCACCGGCCCCGCCGTGACGGGGCACAGCCCGCCGGGGCCCGCAGGAACCGGCACAGACTGGGGCCATCCCCGGCCGCAACGGGCGGGGAGAGAGAAGCGGGGCTGCTCGGTGACCGGCTGCCGAGGGAGAGAGGGAGGGAGAAAGGGACTAAAGGAGGCAAGGCACCCCCAGCCCCGCCCGGCCCGGCCCGGCGCAGCCCGGCCCGGCCCACAGGCCCGTGCCCCCGGGGGAAAGTGCGGGGCCCAATCCTGCCTCAGGCCTCGTGCCACGCCGTGTCGTGCCAAGCCGTGCTCTGCACCGTGCCCCGGGCGCTGCCCCGGCCGTACCTGCTCCGGTGCCGGTGCCACCAGCCGGCCCGGCCCGGCCCAGCTCCGCCTCCTCCGTCAGCACCCGCCGGCCCCGCCGCTCCACAACATGGCGGCCGCCCCCGCCCCCGCGCGGGGCACGACGGGAGCGCGCCCCGCCCACCGCTTCGAACACATACAGGAAGCGGCGGCGCGCGGCGCCATGGCAACGGCCCCGCTGACGTCACAGCCGGGACATGACGTCATGGCCGGGCTCCGGGGTCTGAGTCCCTCCCGGGAGGGCACCGGGCCCGGGGCTGCTGGGTCCCTGAGGGGCCTTCTGAGTCCTTAAGGGGGTGCTTGGGTCTTTGGGGGGCTCCTTAATGGAAGTTTCTTGGTCCCTAAGGGGTTCTTGGGTCCTTAAGGGGGCTCCTCAGGTCCTTGGGGGGCCCCTTGGGTTCTGGGGGTTGTTCTTGGCCCCTCCAGAGGGTGTGGGATTCCTGTGCCCCCCAGAGATGGTCTGTGCCTCAGTGCAGGACCCCCCACGATCCCACAGAGTGTCTGTGTCTGCCATTCCTGGTCTCTGATCCCCATTGCTCTTCCCAGTGAGTTGTGGGGTGAGTGGGGTGAAGCCAGTTGTGTGTCCACCCCCCTCTTGGGAGGGCACTGGGGCTGCTGCTCCCCCAGAGCTCATGGGAGGAGCATGGAGCTCCCCCCGCACGGCCTGGGAGGAGCCAGGAGCAGGTGCTGCAGGAGGACTCACAACCCTGTGCCCTTCTCAGCACTGGTGTGTGCTGGAACCCCCCAGTTCCTGTCCATGCCCCAGAGGGGCTGGTGCTGGGGGCCCAGAGTGCCTGCTGGGGGCCAGAGGGGTGTCTCCCTGCAGACTGTCCATCTGCCATGCTCTGGTGACCAGTTCTCACTGTTACCCTGCCCAGCACAGCCACCCATTCTGGCCCTACTGCAGCAGTGCAGCGAGCTGCATGCAATCCCTGATATTGACCTTGGACTGCCAGGTTATCAGTCATGCAGCTCAGCCTCCCATAATAATCAAGTCTCTCTTTAAGCCCCCCTTGTATGTTATTTTCAACAAGAAACAGCTGATAACTGCATCCTGAGAAGGAACAGAATCATTCATAGACTCCTGGAATATCCTGAGCAGGGATCATCAGCCCAGCCTCTGTCCCTGTCCCTGCCCAGCCACCCCAACAAGCCCACCCTGAGCACCCCTGGCAGCGCTGTCCAAACGCTCCTGCAGCTCTGGCAGCCTTGGGGCTGGGACCATTCCCTGGGCAGCCTGGGCAGTGCCAGCACCCTCGGGGGCAAGAACCTTTCCCTGAGCTCCATGCCAAGCCCTGGCACAGCTCCAGCCCTTCCTGGCCTCCTGTCCCTGTCCCAGAGCAGAGCTCAGCCCCTGCCCCTCTGCCTCCCCTGGGGAGGAGCTGCAGCCCCCGAGGAGCCTCCCCTCAGTCTCCTGTGCTCCAGCTGAACGAGCCAAGTGCCCTCAGCTGCTCCTCAGAGCCTTCCCCAGCTCCGTGTCCCTCTTTTGGACACTCTCCAACACCCTTATGGGTGATGGATTCTTTAGATCCTTCTGATCTTGTGTGCCCAAAGTGCCTCCAGAACTGAAGATGATTCCCTCTAACAGATCCTGGGCTCAGGCCATGAGGAACGCAGCAACTTCCCTGCAGGCATTCCCACATTCTCCATTGTCTCAGGAGATCTGTGGGATCTGCCCTGCCATGGCACATCCAGAAAACCAACAGACTTTGGGAGTGTAGGCACCACTTTTGGGGTACCATCCAAGCCCTGCCATTACTCCCAGGTGTACAGAAAAATTCAAGATACCAGAGGTTTATGTCCAGAAAGGAGACAGAGGAGTCCTGTAACTTTATTCATGAACAGAGAGACCATGGGGCATTTCCCATGGGGCCTCTCAAATTGTTGGGGGACGCAGCCTCCTTTTTATCCTAGTTTTTATGGTCACATCACCCTCTCCATTTCTCCACTGGCTGAGGTACTTGGAAAGTACAAACTTCCTGAATTGCCTACTGTGTGTCCCTCTCTAATATGCATCACCCCTTTGTTTAACATAGGACATTCATAGTTCTATTGTCTTTGTTCTTCTTCTCCATGTTTAGTAATGTAGCAGGACCTTGGCTGAGCAGCAGTCCTTGTGAATTAGTAACACTTTCTGAAACTGATAGTTTCTCCAGTTACTTCCTTATCTACAAGTCCATGGCCCTATCTACAAGCAGATTCACACAGTTGGTTTGTAAAGACACATTCATCTTATTCCTTTCACCAGGCACCGTCAGGGCACTGGCACTGCCTGTCTGTGGCTGGGTCTTTTGTCACTCTGGTGCCAGTCCCTGTCCAAGCTGAGATTTGTCCAGTATTTTCCAGCCTTTTCTACCCTTCCTGCAAATCCAAAGCAGATTTGGGATTTTGTTGCTGCGGTTTTCCTTGTTTCTGTAGTGCCAGTCCTTGCTGCAGCTGAGCCTAGTGACCCTTTTCCAGCCCAGCCTAGAGTTGGGAAGTGAGTGGGTTGGAATGGGCATGGTGGTGAGGGTGGGGATGATGGGACGGTGTGGTTTAGTCAGTTGGTGAGGGATGGAGATGGCAGAGCTGTGCAGAACAGTGTGAAGAGGAACGGATGGGAATGGGAATGGGGATGGTGGTGCTGTGGGGATGGGCATGGGCATGGCATGGGCAGGTGGGTGCGGTGCGGTGCGGTGGGGATGGGAATGTCTGTACGGTGAGCGGCAGGCACGGATGGGCACATCTGTACGCTGCCGTGCAGAGCCGCGCCGCGCGGAGCGGAGCGGCGCCACCCCGTCCCGCCTCCCGGTGCCACCGTGACCCTGCCGCCGATCACTTCCAGGGCGGCCCCGGCTCCCGATTTGAAAATGCGGGAGCGGCTGCTGGTGCTCCTGTGCGCGCTGGCGCGGCGGCGGCGGCGGCGCGCCGGGGCCATGGCCGGGAACGGCACCGGCACCGGGAGCGGCGCCGGCAGCGGGAGCAGCGCCGGCGCCGGGGGCTGGGACGGGCCGCAGCGGCGCGCCTGGCTCCGGCACTACTACAGCCAGCGGCAGAAACGGCTCATGACGGTGACCGGGGCGGGGCCGCGGGGGGGACCGGACGGGACGCGGGGAGAACCGCACGCGGGGACGGGGTCATGGAGGACCGAGGGTGCGGGGCTGCGGGGGGTGCGTGGAGATCGTGGGGACACAAAGGATGGGAGGGTCGCTGGAATCACGGGGACACAAAGGGTGGGGGATACAAGAGACGAACGGAGGTCACGACGACATGGAGGATGGGGGGATGCGGGAGAGATTACGGGGACACAGGATGGGGATCGTAAGACACGGAACACATGGACATGCGGGATTTGGGACACGGGGTACACAGGTCACAGGAGCAGAAAAAATTGACGGGGGAGTGCAGGATGCAAAGGACAGTGGTGGGAAGGATAGGGAGCATGGGGAAGTCACAAGAGGGACATAAAGGGTGGGGGACATGTGAGACCCAAAACACAGGATGTGGAACAGAAAGGACATGGACACAGAGATGTGGAACAGAAAGGACATGGACACAGAGATCACAAAGGATGAGGACCGTGGGGGTTCTGTGGGACACAAAGACAGGGACACAAAGGATGGGACATGAAAACATGGGATGTGATCCTGGACACAAAGGATGGTGGATGCAGCGGGCATGGGGGTGACATCAAAGGTGGGGGATGCAATGGGGGATACAAGAGATCCCTGTCTGCAAGGACAAGCTGGGAGGGAACATGAGGAACCTGCTGGCCTGGGCAGTGGCTGAATGTGACTAAAGCTTCTTTTTAGCTTAAAGTTGCACTGTAGAATTTAATAACAGAAAAACAATTCCTGTGGAGAGGCCAGGAGCTTCCCCTTCCAAATCATGATTCCCACCTTTGAGGGATGCTCTCTCCCCCTTCTAAATCAGGACTTAGCCCACAGTTCCCTCAACAGCTGGAAATCCAGCTATGCTCATTAAAATACAAACCCCCAGAGAGAATGGCCACCCCAGAAAAGAGCTTTTCCAGAAAACTCCATATGCAACACCTGAGCATTTTGTCTGGAGTCACACCTACTGCCTGGTGGGTTTGCAGGGAGGTTTCCCAGGAACAGGAAGATTTGACTGGTGTTAGACCAGTTGGGACCACTGGCCACCTGGCACTGGCCATCCTCCTGCCTTGAGCAAGTCTCTTGAGCTGGCTGGCCTTCAGAAGCGGGTCCCAGTGAAGTGCAGGGAAGCGCTGTCTCACACCGCTGTTGTCTCTCCCCTGCACTGCAGCTCCTCATCGCTCACAGGAGGAGAACCAGCTGCTGCTTCTACCCCCGCGCCTGGCCCAGCCTCAGGAGCACGGACTGGTGGGAGCAGGTGGTCCTGAAGGAGTTTGGGCCCCAGGACTGGCTGGAGAAGTTTCGGATGTCCAAGGAGACTTTCTTCTACATCTGCAACCAGCTGCGGCCTGGGCTGGCTCCGCACAGCGCCCACTTCCACCCCACCCTGCCACTGGAGAAAAGGGTGGCTGTGGCCCTGTGGCACTTGGCCACCAACGTGGAGTACCAGACTCTGAGCCCGCTCTTTGGCGTGGGGCCCTCCACGGTGCAGAGCTGTGTCCGGGAGGTGAGCTATGCTGTCGTCCTGCTGCTGAAGCCGCTTTACCTCCGGCTGCCTGACGAGAAGGAGCTGGAGAACATGGCGCGCATCTTCTGCACACGCTGGGGCTTCCCGCACTGCATCGGGGCGCTGGACAGCCTGCACATCCCCATCCACCCGCCCCTGCGCCTCACCGCCGACTACTGCAACGGCCAGGGCTGGCACTCCATCCTCACGCAGGCCACCGTGGATGGGCTGGGGCAGTTCTGGGACGTCTCCACCGCCTTTCCAGGCAGCATGGAGAACAGCGCGGTCCTGGAGAGCTCCAGCCTGTGGGTGCTGGCCAAGGAGGGCCGGCTGTGCCCCAACCCTCCCAAGCATTTCATGGGGAAGGCACAGAAGTACGTGCTGCTGGGCGATGCCACGTACCCCCTGCAAGACTGGATCCTCAAGCCCTACCAGGAGGATGAGAACCTGACCCAGCGCCAGCTGCAGTTCAACTACCGCCTGAAGCGGGCCCACAGCGTGATCGAGAACGCCTTCCTGCGCCTCAAGGCGCGCTGGCAGATCCTCCTCAAGTGTGACGATTGCAGCCTGGAGCTGCTGCCCACCCTCGTCCTCGCCTGCTGCATCCTGCACAACGTCTGCGAGGCCCACGACAACCCCTTCAACGAGGAGTGGCTGGAGGGCACCGAGCCCACCGAGCTGCCCAAGCCCTGCCAGCCCGCGCCGGCCGCCATGGAGGACAACCGGGCTGAGCAAGTGCGGGAGCTGATGTGCCAGTACTTCGAGAGCTGCGGGGAGGGCTGATGGGCCCGGGAGCAGCTGCCCTGCACATCCCTGCTTGCAGACTCACCGTGGACTCTGGCAAACTGGCCCAGTGCTACCAGCTGTACCAGGAGGGCCCAGGGCGGGGAGGGGCGGCCGTGTCACGCTCGTCCTGGGTTTGCTGTCGAAGTTTCAGGCAGTGGAATGTATTTTGTTCTCATTCTCTCTCCCAGGATCTAAACTGTTTGGTGGTGTGTTGTGTGCTGCGGGAGTACAGTGGGGATTGGGGCTGGGAGGAGGCGGCTGCTGGGATCTCTCTTTCCTCTGTCTCAAAGCCTTTCCATTAGACCAAAATCAACAGGACCCTTGAAATAAGGCGAAACTCCTTTGGAGGTTTGAAAGTTGCTGCGTAAACACACATGGGAAGGAGAGGGAAGGAAGAAGTGGAGCAATGGCTTGCAAGGGCTGACACCAGCCTGGAATTAAGCTGCATCCACAAACTCAGGGATGTGCTGCCCTGAGGTTTGTCCAGCCTAGCACCCCCCAGCCCCTCTCCAGAGGGGTTTTGCTCAGCCTAGCACACCTGGCCTCTCTCCAGACAGGTTCGTCCAGCCTGGAACACCCTGACCCCCCTCTGGAGAGGTTCACCCAGCCTGGAACACCCCCGGTTCTTCTCCAGTGGGATTTTGCCCAGCCTGGCATCCCTGGCCCCTCTCCTGAGGGATTTTGTCCAGTCTCACACCCCAGGTCCCTCTCAGGGTGGTGTTTGCCTCAGGGTTCTGGCACTGCCTGAACCCTCTCCGGTGGGATTTCTCCCAGCCTGGAACACCCCCAGGCCCCTCTCAGGGTGGGCCTTGCCCAGCCTGGCATCCCCAGCCTCTCTCCAGAGGGGTTTGCCCAGCCTGGCACCCCCTGCCCCTCTCCAGAGGAATTTTGCCCTCCTTGGAACACCCTAGCCCCTCTCTGGATGGGTTTGCCCAGGCTGTCACCCCCAGCCCCTCTCCGGAGGGGTCTGTGGCTCGGTTCCCGTGGCCCCGCCCGGCTCTGCGCTCGCTGCCCGGGCCCGGCCATGCTGGGCAGCGCCCCCTGGCGGCCGCAGCGCCCTCAGGTGGAGGGGAGGCAGCGCCCCCTCGTGGGCGCCTCCTATGCGTATTGCGCAGGCGCCTGCCGGGCGGTCACGTGGCGGAGCAGCAAGATGGCGGCGCGCGGTGAGTGTAGTGCCGGCACTGCCGGGCTCTCCCCGCACCCCCGGGGATCCTCCGATCCCGCGGCTCCTCTCGGGCCCTGCTTCCGCTGACTCGGGGGCTCCGCCCAGCGCGGTCGCGGCAGGCGGTCTGTGTCCGTCCCGAGTATCCGGTGAAACCGAGTGTCCGAGCACACGCGCTGTGGGGTCAGCCCCGGCCCTAGGGTCCGGTTCTCCGGCACGGGCCGGGCCGCGGCCCTTCCCGCCCGCCCTGCCCCCGGCCACGGGACCCGCTGGAGGCTGAGGGCGCACCTTGACTCCTTTCCCCGGACGCAGGAGTGTGACCGAGGAGCCACCCGAGCCCCCAGCGTGCCCGGACCCGTCCGCGCCATGGTGACGGAGCAGGAGGTGGAGGCCATTGGCCGCACGCTGGTGGACGCGGCGCAGCCGCTGCCCGCCCGGTTCCGGGCCCTCTTCACCCTGCGGAACTTGGGCGGCCGCGCGGCCGTGGAGTGGATCAGCCGCGCCTTTGGGGACGGCTCGGCGCTGCTGAAGCACGAGCTGGCCTTTTGCCTGGGCCAGATGCAGGACGAGGCGGCCATCCCGGTGCTCGTCCGCGTGCTGGAGGACACGGCCCAGGAGCCCATGGTCCGGCACGAGGCAGGTACGGCAGCAGCTCCTGCGGCTCTGGGGGCAGGGGAGGGGGCTGGCTGGCAAGTGGGGCCTGGGGTGCTTTCCCCACTGTACAGAGCAGCTCGTGGGGGCCTGATCCGGCTTGGATGTCAAACCCTGAGTCACGTAACATCTCACCACCTTCCCTGGCCACACCTGACTGGACAGGTTGGCCAGGCTCCGGTGTTCCTGCTGGACAGGCTTCTCCCGTCGTGTTTGTCCTGTTTGGAATTGGTCAGTCTCGCCTGTGTCCACATTTGCCCCATTTGGGATTGGTCAGTTAGGCCTGTGTCTGTGTTTTAGAGCAAGGCAAGGCACTGCCAGAGGACACAGCAGGGTTCTTCTCACACAGACACCCTGATAACATCCTGATACTCCCTTCAGGTGAAGCCCTGGGTGCTATTGGGAACCCTGACGTGCTGGATATCCTGAAACGCTATTCCCAGGATCCTGTGGTTGAGGTGAGCTTCCCGAGGGGTCATTTCCTCTGGGATGCAGCACTGTTGGTCTCGGAGGCGAGTCCTGTGCTGGCCAGGTTGGTGGGGACATCGCAGTGACATCCTGCTGTGTGCTGGGGTTCTCCTGGCGCTGTCCAGTGCTGTTCTGCAGCTGGGGCTGTGTCCCTGTCCCCACAGGTGGCAGAGACGTGTCAGCTGGCCGTGAGGAGGCTGGAGTGGCTGCAGAACAACAAGGAGAAGCCAGGCAGCAGCCCGTACCTGTCTGTAGATCCTGCTCCCCCCGCTGAGGAGACGGATGTTGCCAAGCTCCGGGAGATCCTCCTGGATGAGTCCCAGGAGCTGTTTGAGCGCTACCGGGCCATGTTTGCTCTACGGAATGTGGGGGGCCAGGCTGCTGTGCTGGCACTGGCAGAAGGTGAGTGCCTGTCCTTGCTGTGGGTCTGTCCGGGCTAATCTGGGACGAGCCCTTCCCAAATCTAGGACTGCCAGAGCTGCTCTCACGTGTTTGTGTCTAGGGCTGCTGTTCCCTGCTACATTACAGAGTGCTGGGTGGTCTCTGCTGTTCCAGAGTCCCCTTGCCTGAAAGGTCCTCCAGACCCCCTTCCCTGAAGGATGGAGGGCACCGGCTGTGATCATGGTCTGGGACCAGCTGGTCTGACCCATTTCAGACCTGGCCTTGGGGTTTTGGGGTCATGCTCTCCTGGCCTGGAAGGTCAAGGGCTGCTGCTGTTTGGGAATAGTTCTGGAGAGGGGAATGTCCCTGAGTGGGAAAGGGGCAGACCACAGCCCCAGAACTGTTTGGAGTCACCCCAGCCCGAGGGAAGTGGGTCAGGCTCTCCAGCCATCTGGGACTGTTGAGGTCCATAAGATGGGATTTGTCAGCTCCTGCTCCAGCTGCTTGGTCCCGGAGCGCTGGAGTCCCTGGCCATGCTGCCATCCCCCGGAACATCATGTGGTGGGGCAGAACCTGGGCAGGCGGAGAGCAGCAGCTCTGCTGGGGGGTGGGTGCTGCCATCAAAGGAGGCTCTGGGACTGGGCTGGGATCAGGGAGCAGGGTGGGATCAGGGAGCAGGGTGGGATACCCCTTCCTGTACATGGGGCTGGGGCGGTGACCCTTGGCATCCCCAGCTTTCAGGTGGGGGCTCCATCCAGACATCCTGGCATGTTGGGGACATCCTGGTGAATTTTGGGGCATCCCAGCTCACTGTCCCCTCCCCGCAGGGCTGCGCTGCGGCAGCGCGCTGTTCCGCCACGAGATCGGCTACGTGCTGGGGCAGCTGCAGGACGAGGCGTGCGTCCCTCAGCTGACGGCCACGCTGTGCAGCCGCGCCGAGAGCCCCATGGTGCGGCACGAGTGCGCCGAGGCGCTGGGCTCCATCGCCCGGCCCTCCTGCCTGCGGGCCCTGCGCGCCTTCGCCGGCGACGAGGAGCGCGTGGTGCGCGAGAGCTGCCAGGTGGCCCTGGACATGTACGAGTATGAGAACGGCGCCCAGTTCCAGTACGCCGACGGGCTCTGCAAGCTGCAGGCCTCCTCCTGAGCCTGGACTGGGGGCACTGGGGGGGGTGTGCCGCCTCCCACCCCCTCCTGCTGCCAATGGCGGATCCGTGCCTTGCCACGCAGAGCTGGAGGAGGGGCTGGGTTTGCTCTCTGGCACAATTACAGCCACCTTTTCCCTCCAAATCCAGGCTGAGCTGCTACTTGCCTCCCCACCACTCCTTGCCAGCTCCTGTTTCCTGGATCTGCCCTTTTTCCCTGCCAGGATCAGCGCTGCCTGCCCGCAGCATGGCTTGGGGCTTGGACCAGGTGGGCTCTGCTTGGCACGTCAGAGCCTGCTGCAGCTCTGCAGGGCTTGGGCCTGCCCTGGGTTGGCACTGCCCCGTCGGCAGCTCCGTTCTCTGCAGCTGAGCTTTGCTGGGGGCTAGGATGGGCTTTGGGCACCCACTCTGTGGGCTGTGGTGGTAGGATGCTTCAAAATTGCTTCAGTGATGGTACCGAGCCGGGGCCCTCCTCGCCCGCGCAGTGGGTTTGGCTTCACCTGTTGGGACAAGCTGGAGCTGAGCCTGTGGCAGCCTCTGCCCTAGGGTGGGGGTTATTTCATGGCAAAGTTGGGAAGATATGGCTGGGGTTTCTTCTGCAGGGAAGGGCGCTGCCATTAGGGTGGGCAGGGTGAGGCAGAGCCTGCCTGGGCTTTTGTCTGTGTTTAACCAAGGCCAGGAGGGCTGAGGCTGCTGCTGGCACCCAAATCCCTCAGTCAGCCCAGCCTGGGCAATGGGGTTTGGGGTTTGGCAGGGAATAAAGCAGTGGCACAGGAAGCTGGAATGAGTTGAGCTGTGATTTACCTGTGCCCAGGTGTGGAGTGCACCCAGTGGGGTCAAGCCCTGGGCAGGAGGCTGGGGGCTGCCAAAATGAAGTCATAGAACCATTGAGATGGGAAAGGATCTTTAAAATGGAATCCAGCCACACTGGGAGGAGCAGGGAGTGGGGTCCCTGATGGCATGAGGTGAAACCCCCAGCCCTGGGGAGGAGGATGATCTGTCTGAGGTGCCCTGGTAGGTCCCACTGCCCTGCAGGGCCTGGCATCCTGCTGGGCGTACCTTTTCCCCTTGTCCAAGGGCTCCCTGTGAGTCACTCCCAGGCTCAATCCTCTTAGTCCCTGAAGCCAGCTCAGCTTCCTCAGGGCTCTGGTGCTCAGGGTCACAGCCAAGGGGCAGCCCTGGCCATGGCCCAGTCTGACCCAGTTCAAGACCTGATGGAAAGGGCTCTTAGTCAAGATGTGACCAGTTTTGGTCACCTGTACACACTAAGTCAGTGACATGTCAGTAGGGTCACATATATGTGATGGGGAGGGTGAGGGGCTCCAGACTGCACTTCCCCAGCACAGGGGACAAACATCTGATGTTTTCACACTGTTTGGAGTCAGCTGCTGTTATGGGTTGTTTGTCCCCTTTCCCTCACCCTCCATAGCCCCTGGGTGATGTGCAGGACCACTTTGGGCTGTGGGGTGTCCCTGTGTCATATCCATCCCCAGCACAGTGAGATGGGTGACTTCCCCCAGGCCACGTTATCATTTTCACTGTTCCCTTGGCACGTGAGCTCCAGCACAGCTGGAGTTTGCCAGGCTGTTTGTCCCCACTTATCACCTTGGCCGCCCCCACCTTTGCTCTCCAGATTTTCCACAGGAGACTCAATCAGACCTTGCAGGGCTGTTTCCCAATCATTATGTGCCAACATTTGTCTCTGCACCCCCAACACCTTTTAAGACAAAACTGGAACAAAATGCATTTCTGAGGCTGGGATCTGGGCAGGGGTGACCAGGTGCAGCAGAGCTGAAAGGTGCTGGAGTGGAGCAGGGCTCAGCCTCGAGCCTTAACTTGGCACTGAACTCCACCAGCACCTCCAACCTGTGCTGGGAAGGCTTTGGGATTTCTTCAAAGCTGCTGCTGATCTGGGCTAAAACCTGCACCCTCTTGGTGGGGGGAGAATTGCTTTTGGGGGAAGCATGGACTCGGCCCCCCCCCCCCCCCCCCTGCAGGCTGCTCTGCCTTGGGGAGGTGACTCTGGGTGCTGGGGTGACACGTGGCCAGGTGGCAGCCATCTGGGAAGGTGACAGCCTCTTGTCATGGACTGCTTCCCTGTACAGCAGAGGGGCCCGTGGGAGCCCCCGTGGCTGAGGCTGCATCCCCATCCCCTCTGCCCATCACCTCCAGCTCCAAGGGGGTGCTGTGTCCTCTGCGATCTCAGCCATCTGCTCCAGGGATCCGGGGCCTGCTGAGGGATTTAACCCAGCCCAGGGGAGGGAGAAAGACCTTGGGCATCCCTCCCCATTCCTGTCTTGGGGAGTTCTCCAGCTGCTCCAGTGACTCCCCACTCCCAGGGGGGCAGGGGTACCAGTGGTGCTCCCAGAGGGGCAGGATTTGGGGACTCTGACCCACATTGGAGCCTGCTGGTCACCTCCCATGCTGAGGCAGCCAGGCTGTGCCTGGATTAGCAGGTGCTAAGCTCCTTCTCAGCAACACAGCTCTGTCGCTGGGTGAGTGTCACTGCCACTGTGAGCTGACAGCACCAAGGAGCTTTGTGGACCCTGATGCCACTTCCCGCCCTGCAGTCCCCTGTGTGGCAGAGGTTTCAGTGGCTTAGGGTGGAGTGCAGGGATAGCTGGCCATGGCCCTGGCAGGGGGTATCCCCCTCCCTGGCACCGGAGGGGCACAGGGGCCACGGCACTTGCTGCAGTCCCCCCCTGAGGAGGACGGGGTGCTGTACGTGGACTACAAGCCCCCTGCCCTGGACAGCATCCACCTGCCCCGCTATGTCCTGTACCTGATGATGGCAGCAACGCTGGTGCTGCTGGTGGCATATGCCATCGTGGGGCACCTCATCAAGGACCTGGTGCACGACTTCGCCGGTGAGTGTTACCCACAGCGGGGTCGGGCTTTGGGGTGGGCAGGGGGCCAGGGGGATCCCCCCACCTGAGACTGTGCTGTGGGAAGGCTGGTGCTGCTGACAGCTCCGTCTCTGCCCCTGCAGACTGGGCATTTGGGCCCAAGCCGGAGGAGAAGGCAGGGATGGCTGAAGGCCCCGTGCTGGAGGCAGAGTGGCTGGAGGACGACGAGGTGCTGGTGGAGCAGAAGGTGGAGGATGAAGGCAGCGGCATCCTGCCCGGCACGGACATCCCGCTGCAGCTGCTCGCTCCACGCAGCTCCATCTCCTTTGCCAACTCCCCCAAGAAGAGGTTTTTCTAGGGTCAGGGGACACCCCTGCCACCAGCAGGACCCTGCAGTCCTGCCTGACCATTGTGTCACAGTGTGGCTCTGGCCAAAGGCACTGCCCAGCCCTGGCACACAGCCTCCCCCTCCCTGCCCAGCCCTAGCGCTGCTCTCGGGGCTTCTCCTGGGCTATCACACCAATAAAGCCACTTGCCCCAGCGTTGCTCACCCCTTGGCCCAGCACAGCGTGGGGGGTGGCAGGGCTGGCTTTGCCTGGGGTGACAGCACCCCTTGGCACAGCCATGCCACCCCTGGCCATGGGCACATGGGTGTATAAAGGGGGGTGCTTGAGGGTGCAAACCCATGGTGTGGGGGCACAGCCAATGGTGGCAGGGGGCATGGACACGGGTGCACACATGCACATGGAAACATGGATACCCCTCTGGATGGGCCACGTCAGCGTGGGCACATGGGTAGGGATAGATGGATGGACAGCTGGATGCTGAGGCTGGCTGTGCCCCCACCACCCCCTCAGTGCCTTGGCACTGCTAGACCATGCTCAGTGGCACGCAGAGGTGGCCCCAAACCAGTCTTGGGGGACAAAGCACCCTGAAGCCTCACTTGGGTTCTGGATAAGGGCACTGGGCATGGGGGCTGTTTTATGGACCTGCAGCCCTTGTCTTAAACCCAGGTTGAAGCTGGATCCCTGTGCCCCCAGTCTTCTTCTCAACCCCTTGAGGAATTGCCACAGGCAGGGTGGCCCTGCCAAAGTCCACTGTCCTTCCCTGGGGTACTGGTGGCCACTCTCTGCCTCACTTTTCTTTGTGCCCTGGTGGGTGGGCACCCTGCTGTGGTCTCCCTGAGCTAACCCTGTCAGTATTTCACTCTCGACAGTATGCACGCACACACTCCCTGAGGACATGATGGGGTCCCATCTGAGATTGTCTGGGGGCAGCTGGCTCGTGCCCAGGGGAGGGCTGGGGGTGGCCTGGCATTGCCCACCCCTCTGTGCCGCCCCATCCCCATGGGATCTGCCCCAGCCCTGCCAGCTGGGATAGGGGGAGCCAGGCAGGGTGGGTGCTTCTCCACCCCATCACCCATCTGTTCTTCCACATGTGCACCCACCCAGCCTCCTGCCTGTCTGTCCCTGCCTCTATCCACCTGCCTACCCTGGGGGTGGTCCCCAGTCCTGGGCACAGGGACATGCCTGTCCTTTGCCACTGTGCTCCCGGAGGTGGTGGCCGCTGGGTGTGGTGGGGTGCCGGTGCCTGAGCCAGGGGAGTGGTACCACCTGCCAGGGGTGACAGGAGTCACGTTGCCATGGTGCGTGGTGCCACTTTGTCCTCTTGGGGCCAATAAAGGCGCTCATTGCCTTGGGTGCAGAGTGCAGGCACGATAGCAGCAGGTGACAAAAGCTCACCTCCAGGAGCAGGATCCAGACGTGCCCCAGCTCTCCGCCCAAAAATGCCGAAGCTCTTGCAGCCCCTCTCGCTCCTGCTCCTGCTCGTCCTCGCTTCCACTGCCCAGGGACAGGCTGGTAGGTGCCCCCGTGCCCCTCTGTGCCGCTGTGCCCTGGGATATCTGGGGAGGTGGCCAGGCCTCCCCTCAGGCATCAGATCAGCTCCTGGGAGACCTTTCCAGTGGGACCAGTCTGTCCCAGTGCTCCAACAGTAACTTTTGGGGGTAGAGCAGAAAGATCTGGAGACACCCACCTGCTGCCCCAGTGCTCCCCACTGCACTGGTGACAGGTGAGCTGTGTCGGGAGTGGCTTCCTTGGTACCCAAGGGACACTGGGAAGGGGGAACAGTGAGTGTCTGCCAATGTCCCATCCCCACCAGGTCCTGAGGGGGGGTCCCATCCCCTGAAGGACGGAGCTCCCCTGAAGCTGTCCCCATCCCTGTCTTTTCCCTTCCCTGGCCATGCAGGCACGGGCCCCAAGGTGCTGCAGCCATGGCTCATTGGCCTCACGGCCGTCGTCGTCTTCCTCTTCGTCGTCTTCGTGGTGCTGCTCGTTAACCGGCTCTGGAGTCTCAGGAAGAAGAGGTTGGATTGGTGTGGGGGGCAGGGGGTGGTGGCCAGGGGAAAACTGCTGGAAGGTTGCCATGGGCTGGGGCAGGGTTGTCCCCGGGCACCGTTCAGCCTCTCTCCCCTCGCAGGAAGGAAAACGACAACCCGGAGACCCTGGAGACTGACAGGTACCACAGCCCGGGTGCCGCGGGCAGCACCGGGACCCCCCCCACCGGAGCTCGGATTCTCTCGAGGGCTACGTTCCGGCTGTGCCCTCGGCATGGCTGGAGGCGGCCGTGCCGCGGTGCCCTTCACCGGGGCACGGCCGCGGTGCCGGTGCAGTGCCCGGCTGACCGACGATCCGTCCCTCCCGCAGGCTGGAGCGCTCCGGCCACGTCAACCCGGCAGCTGAGGACTGGGAAGAGCTGAAGGACGACAAGCAGCAGAGCAAGGCCACGGCCACGTCCCTCTGAGTGCCCCCCGCACCTCTCTGCCCGCTCCGGAGCGCCTCTGACGGGCGCCGCACCCTCACCCCGTCCGCGGGGCGCGGATCCGCCCCGGGTTTCGGCGGCAGCCGCGGCCACCGTGGCACCTCCCGCCCCGCGGCCGGCCCGGCTGTGACCAAGACCCGGCGCGGATCGCCCGCTCGCCGGAGCTGAGCAGGGAGGGCGGCGGCCGCGGGCGGCAGCGGGGCCTCCCCGTGCCCCCCGACCCTGGGCCGGCGGGGGTCCCGGCCCGGGGGGACAACGACAGCCCCCTCCCCAGACGTGCCCACTAAAGGTTTCCCCAGCCTACCCCGGCGTCAAGCGTGTTGTGTCACCGTGCGGGGAGGGGGCTGTCCGGCACCCCTGGGTGCCACTCGGGCAGGGGACAATGGCAAGTTCCAAGCTGCCAGACCCCGCTGACCTCGGCAGGGCGGGAGGGGCTCTCCGGCCACATCGCTGCCAGACCAGCCCGGACCGAGGGGTGGGCACCGAGGGGACACGGGGGGTGGGGGGCCTCGCCCTGAGGCTTTCCTGAGCAGCGCTTGGGGACAGGGACTGTGGGCAGCGCGGGGGTGAAGCGCAGCTTCGGCCAACGCCGATCTACGGGTGACGACAGCGGCGTCATTCCGCCAGGCGGTGACGTCACGTGCACGAGGTGGTGACGTCCCGTGGCCAAGGTCTGAAGCAGAGGAAGTGGCAGCAGCTCCGAACTCCCACGTGAAGCGCGGCTGCCCCCACCCATGTCCTGTCCCCACATGTCCCGTCCCCGCCGCCTGCGGCCGGGGCTGCGCGCTGCGGGCTCCCGGCTCCGCCACCCTGCTCTGCCGGGCCAAGGGCGGCCACGGCTGCGGCTCCCTCCGCGGCGGTGCTGGGTGTCCCTGCGGGGCAGGCTCCGCTCTCCCCAGTGCCCCCCGTGCCCTCCTCCTCCGCCGGGACACCCGTGTTCTCCCCGCTTGGGCACCGTGCCTCAGTTCCCCCGGGGCAGCGAAGGAAGGGCGGAGGCGAGCTGGAGTTGAAGCATAGCTTGTTTAATTTTTATACATTTTTTTTTTTGGTCTTTTTTTTTCGTTTTCATTTTTTAATCTTTTTTTTGTGTGTCAGTTTTTTCTTTTTTGTTTTTTTCTTCTTTTTTGTCTCTTTTTTCTCTTTTTTGCATAGGGGAGGGGGGGAACAACAACAACAACAGAAGAAAAAAAAACAACGGGAAGAAAAAAAAAAAACAAAAAACAAAACCAAAACAAAATAAACAAAACAAAAAAGAAAACCAAAAAAAAAAACACCCCAAAATCCGTATCAGGGTCAGTAAGTGTATGTAGGCAGGAGCGGCGCTATCGGTAATGGCTGCGTACAATGGTATAATCAAATATCGTGAAGCACCAGGGAGGCGAGCGGGGGCTCGGGGGGGTCATGCGGGGCCAGGGGGCGCGGGGGGCGCGGGGGGCCCGGCCCCGGCTCGCGGCCCTGGTGCGCTCGCGGTGTGTATCGGCTGCGGCAAAGCGAAAGCGAGAATCCGGCGAACGAGTAAAATATAACTGCGGGGAGGGGGCACCCCCGGCCCCCGGGGCAGCGGGGACCCCCCGAAAAGGCGGGCGGGCAGCCGGCGGCGCGGAGGCACTGCGGCGGGATTTTTGGTTTGGGTAAGAGGCGCGGTCCGGCCGGCTGCCGCCTCGGCGCCTTTTTGGGGCGGTTTCTGTCCTTTTGCCGCTCTTTGCCCAGGGGTGGGATTTCCCCCAAGCCCGGCTCCACCTCCCGCCTGCACCCGGGCATCGCGCGGGACGCCCAGCGGGGCACGCGGGTACCCAGAGCGGCACCCATGGAGCGGGGCACCCCTGGGCATCGCCTGGGGCATCCGAACGGGCATTGGTGGGCATTGCTCGAGGCACCCTGCGGGGCACCCGTGAGCACCACTTGGGGCACCCAGAGAGGCCCCCGTGGGCATCACCTGGAGCATCCAGAGGAGCACCCATGGGCATCACCTGGGGTGCCAGGGGACACCCAGAGGGGCATCATCTGGAACACCCGTGGGACCCCCATGGGCACCAGGTGGGGCACCCGCGGGTATCACCTGGAGCACCCACAGTGATATCCACGGGCACCGCACAGGGCACCCAGAGGGTCTCTCCCAGGGCACCCATCACCGGGGGCACCCATCCCAGCCGGTGGCGGGATACCCGGGGGGGGGCAGAAAGCAGCAAATTCCAAACTCCGAGTACAAAAAAACCAACCAAAACAAAACAAAACAAAACAAAAAAGAAAAAAAACCCAAACCAACAAACAAACAAAACAAAACAAAAAAACCCCAAACAAAACAAACAAAACAAAACAAAACAAAAAAAAACAAAGAAAAACCAAAATAAAAAAAAGAAGAAAAAGCCCAAACCCCACCAAACAAGGCATATATATACATATATATATATGTATGTATATATATATATATATATGAGATTTTATATATATATATATATATATATTCCTTTGCGATTTAAAGTACCTTAACTGTGTGGGGGCCCGCGCCCTCCCCCGGCCCTGCAGCCCCATATATATATATGTGGAGATATATATATATATAGATATATATATATATATATGTACAGGTTATTTGTTTTATTTATAGGTCACAAGGACTATTTTAATTAATTTTTTAAGCCGACGAGCCCGACTAAAAACCCTCTAGGAGAGACTGTAGTGCATGAAACCCCCGCGGTGATTGTCGAGCGGAGCCCCCTCGTATCCCCATCCTGCGGGGGACCCCCCCAGAGCTTCCCCAGGGATGGGGTGCTCACCCCGCCTTTGCGCTCACCCCGACCGTGGCCATCGAGGCCGCCAGAAGATAAAAAAAAAGAAGGGAGAATGATTAAAAAAATAGAAATCATAAAAATGAGTGGTGTCCCCCTCCCCCGCGGAGGGACCGGGGGTGTTGCATATTCCCTTTGGGCAGAGCCGGGGGTGCGGCCCCGGGGGTGTCGGGGGAGCAGTGCAAAGACCCCGGGGCACGGGGGGCTCCCCGGCCCCGCAAGGGGAAGCCCCGGCACGCCCCCCCCAGTGCCGCCCTACGGGCTGGGGGGCGTCGAGTTGATTCTTTTTTGCCTTTTTAAATTTGGTTTAAGGTGCTTTTCTTGCCGAGGGCGGGTTTTGGGGGGCTGCGGCCGCAGCCCGGCCGGACTTGCAGCCGGCCCGGGGTGGGGAGGCAGCAAAGAGGGGGCAGGGGACGAGCCCGGCGGTGTCCCCGCGGGGACAGGGGGCTCCGGGGCTTGCTCGGGGCGGGGGGGCCCAGGCCCGAGGGGCGCCAGCGCCCCTCGCCTCCCCGGGGCTGACCGAAGGGGCTGCCCCGTGCCCCCCGCTCCCTCCCTCCGCTGTCACTGTCACCGTTTAAAAATGCTTTTTTTTTTTTTAATTTTTTTTTGCTTTGAGCTGAGTCTTTTCCAGCCTTAACCCCCTTCTTTTCTTTTTTTTTTTTTTCTATTAAAAAAAAAAAATCTCTTTTTTAAAAATTTTGTCTTCTATTCCCCGTCTTTTTTTCACCCCCCCCTCCCCGGACGCCGCCCCACTCCCTCCTTGCATTGTCCTTGCAGAAATCAATACTGCACCTTGCATAAAGAAGCGTCTCCCAAGGCTCCCCCGAGGGTCTGGGACCCTCAAACCAGCCTCAACTGTGGGCGAAACCCGGTGGGACGCGACCACCCCGTCACCCCCCACTAATACTTTTGGACACCAAAAAAAAGAAAAAAAAAGAAAACAAAAAACCAAAACCAAAACAAACAAACAAACAAAAATTAAAAACTGTTGACGACGACGTTTCTTCATGCCCGAGCAGCAGCGATGCCGGTGCCACCCGCCCACCGCTGTCACAACCCGCGTCAGCTCTCAGCCGCAGGGAGCTCGGGGGTCTCCAGCCGGCGGAACGCTGGGGTTTTAAGGCAAATTCAGGGTTTTTAGGGGGTGTCGGGCCCCTGCTCGGCAGCGGGCACAGCAGGGAGAGGCGGCAAGAAGGCACCTCCTGCCGCTCCCCGCCGCGCCGGCCGGACCCCGGGGATGAAGCCGATGGGGTGGAGGTGGGGGGAGGCTGAGACCCCCCGACACCAGCCCGGGGGGGGCACAGCTACATTCACACGGTTCCATTCCTGTCACGAGAGCAGCCGGGCTCAGCCCTCCCGGCCCTGCGGCCCGCTGAAAACCAATTAAAAAGTGGGGGTTCCCTAAGGGGGAGCGGGGGGAGCCTTGGCCCGCCCCGGGATCGGCCCTGCGGGTTTGCAGCCCCGCTCCTCCCGCACGGAGCCCAGCACACCCCGGCCAGTCCTGCCGCGCCCGGACACCGCGTGCCCCCGACTTCTGCGGGGCCTCTGGCCCAGGGGTCCCTGCCGCCTCCCGCCTCGCTGCCTTTGGTTGCTGGAAGCAGAAAAAACAAATCAAAACCCCCCAAAAGGGAAGGAAAACAAAGAAAAGAGAGGCAAAGCAAAGGGGCGGCCGCCCCCCCGGCCGGCCCCCCCCACAGCTATTGCATATTCCGGTGTGTTGGCGCAGAGGATGCATCGGTATTACCAACTGGAAGACGTTTCTGAGGGGGAAAATCGGTTAAAAAAGAAGAAGAATAGAGAGAAAAAGGGACTTTTCCGGCCGAGAAGAAGCCATGCAGGAGGCGAGGGGGGGGCAGCGGCCCCCAGCCCCCCCGGCCCCCCGGGAGCCCCGGGCATGCAGCGACTCCCTCGCACTGATATCGGGTCCAGTAATACTTAGGCTTCGAAGGCAAGGCACATCATGTGGTATAAAATTTCGTGCAAATTAGGAAAACATGGATTTTTTTTTCTTGTGTGTTTTTTTTTACGGATTTTTTTTCTCTTTTATACAGATTTTTTTTTGTTGTTTTTTTTCCTCTTTTTTTTTTTCTCTTTTGCTGAAGGGGAAGGTAGAGCCGGTTAATAAGAGTCTGCCATGCACAGCATCAGCCAGCCGCGGCTGGGTTGAGCCAGGTCACCAGATCCTGTTAAAGCACCATGCAGTTTATTTGTCTTTTTTTTTTTTTTTTGTCTTTTTGTCTTTTTTTAATGTGTTTCTTTTCTCAGATCTTTAAAAAAAAACAACAGGTTTCCCTCTCCGCCAAGCGCTTTTTTTGTTGTTTTTTCTTTTCTTTTTTTTTCTTTTTTTTTTTTTTTTTTTTTTTTTTGGTGGGTTTTCTCCTTTTCTTGTCCTTTTTTATTATTTTTCTGTCTCCCGGGATTTCCTGCGTCAGCCCTTCCTCAAGCGGGGGGGAAGGGGGGCCGGTGGGATGGGGGATGTGATGCCGGCGCTCCTCGGGGCGGCTCTGGGTGCCACGGGACGGAGCCAGGCGGGTGGCGACGGTGGCCTCGGTGACATCCCCAGCTCCTGGACATCCCACGGTGGCTTCTCTCCATCACCACCCTTCGGGTGTCCCCTGGGCCGAAGATCCTTTGGGGACCAGTCTCCTCATCTCGCTGGCGACCTTCGAGGCACCTTCGTCCTCTTCCTCTTCCTCGCCTCGGCCGTCGCGGGGGTTCCTCTGCTCTAAGGCACTGCCACGTCCCTGCGTCCCCTTCCCGGCCACGCTGTCCCCGCACGGGACGGGGACGGCCAAGCGCTTCCTCCCGCGCTGCCCCGGCCGGGGGCTCCTCCGGGAAGGCCGGGGCCCCTCCCCGCCGCAGTTCAGGCACTTGACGCGGGGCCGGGGGCTCCGGGGGACGCCGGGGGACTCTGGGGACTCCGAGGGGCTCCGGGGGGCTGGCTCTGCCCTCGCCGTCGCTCGGGCTTCTTTGCTCCATCCTTTTGTATCCAAAAAAAAAAAAAAAAAAAAAACCAAAAAAAAACCAAAAAAACCAAACCCAAAAAAACAAAACCACCAAACCCAAAAACCCCAAACCAGCCGTCCCGGCAAGCCGGTGCCGGGGACTCCACCTCCTCCTCCTCCTCTTCCTCCTTTTTTTGTGATTTTGTTTTCTTTTCTCTTCTTCTTTTTCCTTTTTTTTTTTTTTTTTTTTTTTTTTTTTTTTTTTTTTGATGATTCCCTCTTAAAAGTGCATTTCCTACAAAATGTGCAACACGAGCGCACCCTGCCTCCCACCTGGTACCTGTCCACAGGAATGCATAGCTCAAACACACGGAC